AGATAGAAGGATGAAGTAGTCATTTTACAGCGTGGGATTGCTGGGCAGCAACGAGCGAGCTTCACTGGACGTTTGGGCTAATTTAAAGTGAAGCGGTTAGCAACACTGTGTGTCTTTCTGCAGGCCAGTCCGGTGGCACCGTTGGGTTGCACGGGGTTTTGCCAGGCAAGTATGCACCATATAAAAGGAAAGGAACTAAGGAATGAATGAAGGGGTGTCTGCAAGTTGGGGATCACAAAGAAGGATCAGGAATCAAAACTGGAGAAGGAAGCAAGTGAACACACGAGAGGAATGATGGATTGAAATTTTGAGGGTTCCTGAAAAGGCTGAAAAATGGCCAGAGTGTGGGCACTCGAGGAGCTAAACAGAAGGACAGGAGCTGATGGTCAGAGGGGCTACTGTTGAAAATGAGGGGCTCAGATGAGAGAAAGGAAAAGTCACTGAAGAGAAAAGGGATGGAGAAGTCCAAGATACTAGATGGAGGTAAAGGTGTTAAACAAAGTATAATAAATGTAAGACTAAGAATAAAAATTGTTCACAAATTCCTATAATGAGTTGATTTATTACCTGGTTTGAATAAAGATAACATTCATCAGTATAAGTACTTTAGATTAAAAGGTTTTTATTGTTGTTGTTGTTGCTTTTTTTCTTTGATGGGACATTTATAGAACTCCAAAGAGCAAAGTTTTACCCCCAAAACTAAGTTTTTGTTAGGTGAAAATACAAGACATTTTTTTTTTCCATATGAAACTTCTTCGTATTTTGATTTCTTTTCCTTCCTGAGTTTTTAAAGGTGATTAATCCATTAATGCAATCTTTTAAAAACTGACTTGTTTTTTCTTTTAAAATTCTTCATGTTACATTGTGTTTCTTCTAAGCTGGGCCCTGTTCCCTTGTCCTTGCCTCATAACTTTTTCACAATTGAAAAAAACACTTATTCCCATATTTACTTACTTTTACAGCTGTTTATTTCCTTTCTTCCTGTTTATCTCCCTGTTGTAACCTCACTCTTGCTCAGATTCTTTTGTTGAGGGGAAAGAACTGGAAGATTTCCCAAATCGTTCTGGGAGAGAAGTCTCTAGACCTTGGGCAGGTCTTGCAAGACACAGGATCTTGCACACTACATCTAATGAAAAACATTCATATCACAGGGCCGGACCGCGGGTACAGGTCTGATTTGTCAAAGGTGGTCTCTTATCAACATTGTTTTGCTCTCCCATCCCTCAGTCCCTCTTCATTAACTCAAAAATTATTAATTGAGAGCCTATTCTGAGCTACTCAGCGTGGTGATTAAAGTAATTCGCATTAATGGGCAATGACTGATTGGCTTAATTCTCTCGGGGGCATTCACATTTCTCAAATGTGCGTATTAATCTAAATAAATCTCTGATTCATGGAATAAATGTGAAACAAACCATTAACAGTCTATTTAGGATTTTTGGTGACAGAACAAAGGGACTTCCTTTCCCTTGGGGCCCCAAAGCAGCCTCCTGATCCCGGAGAAAGTGGGCTAAGACAGAGAACTGGGAGTTAGAGTTTGTGTGTGTGCGTGCATGACACTATCCATCTCATCTAGAACTCTCTCCAGTGTATGGTCTATGTGTCTTCTTCACTCATTTCAGATCAGGAGCGACAGGTATGTATGGATAACAGTTAAGTCATATTACTCTTAAATTATAAGCTCTTGGTCTCAGGATCCCATTCCCCAATCTTCCACAGAAAAGTTTCCAGATACCCACCTTTAAAAAGGTTTTCAGGACATCAAGATACAAAGCTTTTGCACGGCAAAAGAAACAGTCCACAAAACCAAAAGACAACCGACAGAATGGGAGAAAATATTTGCAAACTTGCAAGACACAGGATCTTGCACAGTACATCTGTGCATATCAGATAAAGGGCTAGTATCCAAAATCTATAAAGAACTTATCAAAGTCAACACCCAAAGAACAAATAATCCAATCAAGAAATGGGCAGAAGACATGAACAGACATTTTTCCAAAGAAGACATCCAAATGGCCAACAGACACATGAAAAAGTGCTCAACATCGCTCGGCATCAGGGAAATCCAAATCAAAACCTCAATGAGATACCACCTCACACCTTCTGTTTGGCCCCCTCTGACCATCAGCTCCTGTCCTTCTGTTTAGCTCCTCGAGTGCCCACACTCTGGCCATTTTTCAGCCTTTTCAGGAACCCTCAAATTTTCAATCCATCATTCCTCTCGTGTGTTCACTTGCTTCCTTCTCCAGTTTTGATTCCTGATCCTTCTTTGTGATCCCCAACTTGCAGACACCCCTTCATTCATTCCTTAGTTCCTTTCCTTTTATATAGTGCATACTTGCCTGGCAAAACCCCGTGCAACCCAACGGTGCCACCGGACTGGCCTGCAGAAAGACACACAGTGTTGCTAACCGCTTCACTTTAAATTAGCCCAAACGTCCAGTGAAGCTCGCTCGTTGCTGCCCAGCAATCCCACGCTGTAAAATGACTACTTCATCCTTCTATCTGTCTCTTCCCACCTCCACCCTCTACCTCCATCCTTTCGGTCTCACACCTCACGCCAAAATTAACAAGTCAGGAAACGACAGATGTTGGTGGGGATGTGGAGAAAGGGGAACCCTCCTACACTGTTGGTGGGAATGCAAGCTGGTGCAACCACTCTGGAAAAACAATATGGAGGTTCCTCAAACAGCTGAAGTAGAGCTACCATACGATCCAGCAATTGCACTACTGGGTATTTACTACAAAGATACAAATGTGGGGATCCGAAGGGGTACGTGCACCCCAATGTTTATAGCAGCAATGTCCACAATAGCCAAACTGTGGAAAGAGCCAAGATGTCCAACGACAGATGAATGGATAAAGAAGAAGTGGTATATATACACAATGGAATATTATGCAGCCATCAAAAGGAATGAGATCTTGCCATTTGCAACGACGTGGATGGAAGTGGAGGGTGTTATGCTGAGTGAAATAAGTCAATCAGAGAAAGACATGTATCATATGACCTCACTGATATGAGGAATTCTTAATCTCAGGAAACAAACTGAGGGTTGCTGGACTGGGGGTGGGGTGAGGGGGTGGGTGGCTGGGTGATAGACATTGGGGAGGGTATGTGCTATGGTGAGTGCTGTGAATTGTGCAAGACTGTTGAATCACAGATCTGTACCTCTGAAACAAATAATGCAATATATGTTAAGAAAAAAAAAGAAGAAGATAGCAGGAGGGGAAGAATGAAGGGGAGTAAGTCAGAGGGGGAGACGAACCATGAGAGACTATGGACTCTGAGAAACAAACTGAGGGTTCTGGGGGGGGGGGGGGGGAGGGGTTGGCTGGTGATGGGGATTAAAGAGGGCACGGTCTGCGTGGAGCACTGGGTGTTATGCACAAACAATGAATCATGGAATGCTACATCAAGAACTAATGATGTAATGTATGGTGATTAACATAACAATAAAAATAAAAAAAAAAAGGTTTTCAGGAAAACAGTCTTAGCATCATAGAGGCCCTGGCTGCTGATTCTTCCTCGCAACTGGTCCTCTGCTACTGGAATGTTACAGTGACAAGATGAGAGGCACCAAAACCCCAAGGTGTCTGTTTCTCAAGGTGGCCTGGGCTCAATGAGCTATATCTCTTCCTCCAATCACTGTGCAAATTACGGGAAAGGGGTCCTGGCTAGGAGATAGTGTGGTGCAGTGGTTAGGATACCGTGGGCTGGAGGGTGGGACAGACATGATCAGTGTGGCTCCCAACCCGACTCCTAGGAGCTCTGTGTCCTTGGGCAAGTCACTTTAGCCTCAGGTGGTACAACTTCTATATATAGCAACAAATGATTCTTACTGAAAGTGTGGGTGATAAGAGCAGCCCTTTCGTCCATCGCCCACCCCCGCCGCTGGATCTGTGTTGGATGCGGTCTTTCTACCGTGGGGGGTGGTGGTGGGGGGTGGTGGTGGTTCTTTCACTTCCAGAAGCTTCTTCCCATGGAAGGAAGGGAGGCAACGCTGAAATGGGTATGTAAGGCCCTTCCACTTCATCTCTGCTAGAGGAAGGACCTCCTTGAGTAGGCTCTGTACCACCCTGTTGCCCCTCCGGTCCTCACGTGGAGGAGCGGCTCTGTGGAGGAGAAGCTGGAGAGCTAGGGCGAGCAAGGGGAAAGCGTCCCCTTTCCTTTCTCTTCCAGGAGTCGGGGCGATGAGCCTGGCCCCACGGGGCATGTTTAATTATAATTCACACCACTTGCTCTTTGACCAGCTCAGTGAAGTCTTGAACATATACCCAAATACCTTTTACCGGCCTTTTGTAAAGTAGCTCAAGATACAGGAGGAGAATCAAGTTTCTGAAATGAAGAAAAAAAAAGTATATATATATATTATAGTAAAAGAAGTCGTGCTTCTTCCTGCCGGGGACTGTTTACGAGAGGGAAGTCAGCGGGGCCCCCAAGAGGTCGCTGGTGGCGCAGAAACTGAGGCCAGATGGTAGAGAAAGGGGAAAGGAGAAAAACACCCAGAAACTTTCTTCCTAGTTGCGAATAATCGCCGCCCCCCCCCCCTTTGCCTCCCGGTCAGAGGGAGTAATGTGACACCCGGGAGAAACCCGGAGACCGGGGCGCCGAGAGGGAGGGAAGAGGGAGGAGAGAGGGCTGCGGAGAGCCGGAGAGGGAAAGGGGAGGAGAAGAAGGAAAACCCCTGTCAAGGAGGTGGAGCGAGGGGGTGGTGTCCGCCTCCTGTTCCTCCCTGCCGTCTTTTAGAGGAGTCTGAACCGGGACAAAACACGCCGAGACCGACAGACACAAAGCCGGGGGGTCCACGCTGGCGCTGGAGGCGAGCCCCGGCGGCCGCGAGCGAGCCCGAGGCGCGGCGGGGCGCGGGGCGCGGGGGCGCTAGCGGGCGCGGGCCGAGCCGGGGCCGGGCACCTCGGCCGCTCGGGCCGCGGCGGCGGGGACCATGCCGAGGAAAGTCTCCTGAGCCCGGCAACTTCGGCCCCTCCCCGCCCCCACCCGTGCTGCCCTCCGCGCGGCCCTGCCCATGTGCAGCCGGCCGGCCGGGCTCTCCTCCTCGCAGGCGGATGGGTGACCTTTTCCTGGCTCGGGCAGGCTGTGCGAGGCGGCGGAGCAGGCGATGAAGAAGAAGCAGCAGTATCCCGGCGGCGGCGCGGATGCCTGGCCCCATGGGGCCCCTCTGGGGGGCGCCCCTGCGGGCCTGGGCAGCTGGAAGCGCCGGGTCTCCCTGCTGCCTTTCCTGCGCTTCTCCCTCCGGGACTACGGCTTCTGCATGGCCACCCTGCTGGTCTTCTGCCTGGGCTCCCTCTTCTATCAGCTCAGCGGGGGACCCCCTCGCTTCCTGCTCGACCTGCGGCAGTATTTGGGTAAGGAAGGGGGCCGGGCGCGGGTGGCGCGGGCCGCGCGAACTTGTGCTGGGGAGGGGGGCGGGGAGAGGGGCGCGTCGGGGACTTGTGGCGCTGCGACCGCCCGCCGGCGCCCCGAGGCTCCCCAGGTGGGACGCCCGGGTGCCGGCTTCCTCCCGCGCGTCAGTCCGTCTGCCCCGAGGCGGAGGCGCTGCCTGGGTGGCTTGCGGGGCAGGTACCCCGGGCGGGGCACCGCATACCTTCCCCGCCTCTGCCTCCCCGTCTGGGGCGGAGTGCAGGCGTGTGTGCTTGTGGGTGTGTACGACTGTGTGTTTTCTGGCCCGGAGGTGTGGGGAGCGGCGAGGGGAAAGGCCACCCCCCCCGCCCCGGGGCATGGTCAGTGACCGTGGTCCTCTGTCTCGTGAGCACTCCGGGTCGTGCGGGGGATGGGGTTCTCTCCTCGCCCCGCTCGGTTCTGCTGGTTCTGCCCCGCGAGTCCTCCTCCTGCTCGCCGGCTCAGTGGCCCAGGGGCAGTTTTCGGGCTCCGTGCTGACCCTGGGCTGGCTAGTCCTTCGGCAACAGCGAGGGGGACGCGGGGAGCGGCTGCCCTCGGGGGGGTCCGGGGCTATCCGAGGGCGCGGGTCAGCCGGGCTGGCAGTGTCGCCTGCTTTGACCCGAAGATCCTCTGAGATGCGTGTGTCTCAAGTCAGAACTTTTGGGGGCGGGGGGCTTGTGCTTGGTTTCTTAGAAGCGAGGCTGCCTATTTTTAGCAGAAGTGAGGAAGGGGTTGCACGGAGAGAGAAAAGAGCCGCTGCAGAGAGAGGGCGGGATCCGCAGCTGGGTGCGGGCGCGGGGAGGGCGGTGCCAGGGCCAGGCGAGCGCACGCCCGGGTCCCCGGTCGGCTGCTGGCGCGCGCCCTGGCCGAGGGAGGCTGCAAATCTCTGACCCGTCGTGGCCAGAAGAGGTTTTGCGGGGGCGCGGGGAGAGGCTGGGGAGGCGCCAGCTTCTTGCAAAGGTTCAAGGTGATGAACCTGAGCCACCGGGCAAACATCCGGCATCTGCCTGACGCGAGCGGGTGCGCAAAGGGAAGCCTCCCGAAGCGCTGGACCATATCGGGCGAAAAGACTCCAGTAGGCTGGAAGCTGCTACACTTCACCTCAAAAGTCCCCCAGTCGCAGAAGCCACAGGTCTAGATAGCAGGAACCTCAGCAAAGTGACAAATGTGTCGGAGCATTTTGAAATACAAACGCAGATAAAATAATGCTCTTTCCATGTAGTGAAGCTCAGATTTTAAAAGGTGTGCTTCCATTTCAGTAGAAACTTTGGAGAACTATGGTTTTATAAGATGCTTTAGGGAAAATTAAAGAAAAATATTGTCCAAGCAGGTTTCCAGTACAATCTGGTTTCTTAGAGGATTTGGGATAATACGCACTTTTATTAGGGAGTCAAATCTCTTCTTTCCCTGAGTTCTGTATTTTGGAGGCTCCATAGCTTCATAGATTCTGAGACACCTGCTAGTGCTACAAAGCTAACTTTTTTTTCCTTTTTCTTTCTTTCTTTCTTTTAATAGTTAACAACATCTCACTGTTAACTGGCATTGGGAAGTGTTTTGGAAGCCCAGGGCTCTATAAAATCTGATAACAAATCTTTGTTGAAATTCCCCTTAAGCAAAATGTGGAGGCCAATGGGGCAGGGAAAACACAGTGGATGGGGAATGAGGCTATCTGTGTTTAGTGCCCTCAAGAGCACTTGGCAGGGCACTCAGACTTCCTGGGTCTCAGCTTTTTCATTAGTAGTTAGGGGCTGGACTGGGTTATATCTCAGACCTCCACCCAGCTCTTGAAATGTTGTATTTTCTGATCCCTTCTTGGGGGCAGGAAAAACTGAAAGGAGGAATGAACAAAGGCCATACTGGGGGTAAAACCAAGAAACTGCATAATCTAGCGTGTTAACCTTTTGAAAACTGAGCCAAAAGTGTGTTGTTCCCAGAGTCAAGTGCTTTCATCCTTTATTTAAAAAAATGAGGCCTGATAAATTTGGGGGCTCAGTTGGTAGAAGGGTGAATTCACTCACGGAACAGGGAAGAACCAGTGGGTCGAACATTGCTCTTGTTACTAACTTATCATTAAGTCTCTGACTGACATGATGGGTGAAAAAAATGACATCACTGTGAACTGAAAATAGGATACCTTGGCCAAATTTGTTCCCTGTTGTTTTGTTACATAAATATAATTATTTTTGGGAAAAGTGTGCTTGTGGTCTTTAAGAGGGTCTAAAATATACCCTTAATAATATAAGGCCAAGGTATCTGCAGAATACTTACCCCTTGTGTCCTCCATTCTATTATTTTAGTGTCTGTCAAAACAAAATTTGTGGTTAGTAAACATATCCTCTCAATTTCCTGAGTTAGCCAATTTTGGAGGCAAGTATTTTTCTTAAATATAAGTTCATATAAAGTCAAAATTTTCCAAATCAAAATAATATTTATAGCAAAAAATTTTCTTGACGTGAACTTATTTTAATATACTTATATATTATACATCTACACATAGTAGCTACTTGATATTTATGGCAGTAATAACTGAACCTCTTGTATCAAATAGGTCATATGATATTTAACATATTGAATATTCTCACAGTAAAGCCAGGAGATAGAAGCATTCCCGACAAAAGCTAACACTCATTGTGTATGTTCCAGTAAAGGCAAATGCAGAATGAAATTGTATCCACATTGCAATATTACAGGGAGCTTCTATTGTTCCTATTTTTGATGTGGGAGAAATGAAAACACAGAGATTCACTGACTTGCTGAAGGACACACAGCAAATAAAGGCAGGACTTGAACTCAGATCTCTCTGGTTCAGGCACTTAATGCATAACTCTACAAGCAGCCAAGATGCAAGGGGAATCTGAAGAGCTGACTGGCTAAAAATAATCATATGTATTTGCATAATTTTGCTTTCTTTGATATTTTGTTCTGAGTATCTTAAGGGGCCAGCAGAGAAGGGAAATAAGTCAAGCAGCTGGTCTGCTCTTAACTCCACCTTCCTGTATTAATCTCCCTGTACCAGTGAACTCAGCCCTCCCAGCGCCACACACCTGGAGGTGATACCAAATAGAATCTTAAATTCCTGATCTTTCTGCCTTCCTTTAGCAATTTGTTCTTTGTCTGGGCTAGCAGTTTTCAATGTGTGGTCCGTGGACCTGCAGCATCAGCATCACCTGGAAACTTGTTACACATGCAGATTCTCAGGGCTCGTTCCAGACCAACTGAATGAAAGAGTCTGGGCCCAGGACCCAGCAATCTGTGTTTTAGCAAATCTTCCAGGTGACTCTGATACAGGCTAAAGTTCGAGAACCATCGTTGCAGGGAAAAGCTTTACTTTCAGGAAGCCTCCTATATACTCAAGTGAAAGAAGGGAGATGAGAGAGAGGAGATTCAGACAGTAGTTTAAAGGTGATATGCATGGTTTCATCTTTTACAGCTCAACTTTTAAAATTGCATCTGCTTTGCTGCTTAAGCCCCATTGTTTCAAGGGAAGGACCAGCCAACAGCTGCAGCTGCAGCTGGCTTTAGACTCTCCGAGGTTAAAAGTTGGGTGGAATGGGGTGGAGCTGGCGACCAGAAGGAATAGTGGAGAAAGAAAGGGGGAAGGAGGCAATGATGATGCTTTCTCTTCCCACAGAAGCTGGGTCAAATAGTTCTTCTTTTCTAGTTTGTTTGGGCCTGGGCAAAGTCTGTTTTCCTTAAAGGTACTTTCTGCAGCAAAGGATTTGAAAAAAGCAAAGTAAATTGGGAGTGGGGTGGATTATGCAGGACTAACTGTGGTCTTGATTTTTTCCTCCTTGAAATCGGTTGAGGGAGAACAGGAGCATAGAGTGGGGCAAAATGCATGGGTTTGGCAAATGGCTATCCCTAAGCTTGGGGACCATAGTTTTTCCAATTCAGTGACATTCTTTGCTTTTTTGAAGTGGCATTCAGACTTTGATTTGCTATGGAAAACAAATAAAAATCAAGTAACCCCCCCCCCCCCCCAGAAATTAGGTTATGATACAGCCTCTGCCAGTAGTCTCATTACTTATGAGCTGTGGAAATATCAGAAACTTGGAATATAACTCATTACTCTGATGTAAACTGAATAAAGCCAGATGGCTCACTACACACCTTATACAACTGGCAAACTCTAATGATTTATCATCAAGCCTTGGATATGTGATTTAGCCTTTATGGGAACTAAATTTGTTGGGTCGATCTCAAATTGACATGCTTTCCTTTCCATTTTTTAAATTATACCACTTTAAATGGAGATACACTACTTCTATTTCAGTTTTCAGAATTGCCAATCTTTATACATATTATATATGAGCATGGCAATTTCGAGTCAAAAAACGAGAGAGAAAAAGGTGGAACTTTATCGAATTTGAAATTCTCCAGGTTTAAATGAATTTAAAGGAAAATGTGAAAAATAGAGATCCAGATCTGTTACAAAATCATTTCTTTAAACCTTAAAAATCAAATTTAATTTTTCTTCTGCACATCAGGCATGGTTTAAATATAGTGCTCTGGGCCCCAGACAGCAATCTAGGAAATGAATGCATGAAATATGATGTGATCAATAGAAATCGTTGACATAAAAAGAAAATGGCATTCTTGTTTGTAGCTGCAAATGTGTCTTATAGGGTTGGCTGGGGACACAGTAGCCCTGTATTAGAGGAAGGACAGAAAATGGAATTCAGCTATGGCAGACTGTTCTATAAACACATGGCATGAATGGGGAAAAGCATTCTGCTTTGTAAACTATTTTTGATGTAGACTAGTCTCAGTATGAATTGTTTAAGAGTACGTATAAATATGTATTATCTGGATACTGTCTTTCCTCAAATTCCCTGTCATCAGTCCAGGTTTAAAACACTAGTTGGCTTTGTATTTGAGAAACCAGAAGGAAAGTGGTCAAGCTTGTTGGGTCCCAGAAGAAATAGTATCTTTTGCTTCCCCTGAGGGAAGCGCAAGGGTGGACACT